TACTACTACTACTACTACGACTACTACTACTACTACTACTACTACTACTACTACTATCGGTCTCGTGCACGAGCACCTCTTCGGGGTGAAATGGCGGGTCTGACGTGCATGCAGCGGCGGGCGCTTATCCGAGGGCAGCTGGTCCCTACGGCCCAGAGTAAAGCGACAGCGGCGGCACAGCAGCACACGGGGCGACCCCAGTACCGCCATCGAGGCCAACGAGCGCAAGTAGGCGCGAGAAGAGGCCAGGATGGCAAGCCAAAATGACTAGGCGCACAGCGGCGGCACAGCAGCACACGGGGCGACCCCAGTACCGCCAGCGAGGCCAACGAGCGCAAGTAGGCGCGAGAAGAGGCCAGGATGGCAAGCCAAAGTGGCTAGGCGCACAGTTGACCGTGCGAAGAGCGAAGAACTAAGCAACAGGGCCCGCGGCGCGAGGGGGGGCACCACTGTGGGCGCACCCGCGCAAGCTGGCACGGCGGCGTTGCCAAAGCTGGAGCGTAGGCGAACATACAGGCTCAGCATCATTGAGAGTGGCAGGCTCGGGATCTTAACACAGGAACTCACGTAGCCCCCCCGAGGGCTTAGAAGTAAACGATGCTGGGGCCCTGCAGTGTCTCAGCGTTCAGGCGGACTGGCCTGTTCCTTGCGCAATGGCTGCGAAGACCTGCGACGGCAGCGCCTGCACCTCTCCCCCGAGGTCACCACTACCGCCAGCCTGCCCTGGGGGCCCAAAGACCTGGCGCTCGAGATCCTCACCGAGGGCCACGTTCAGGGCGGCGACATTGGGGGTCTGCTGCGGGAGCGGGCCAGCCGGCGGCGGCGGCACCGCAGGGGGCGCCGTCAGCGGCGGCGGCGGCGGGGCCATGATGGCCGCCGGCGGGGCTCCAGCAGGCGGTGGTGGCGGGTCCTGGCTGCCGCGGGCCGAGCCAGCGGGGGGGGCACTGGCGGTGCGGACGGGAGGGGCACGCGGGGCGACCCCGGTACCACCCCCGCCGCCCGTGAGGCTGCCCTCCCGGAGGTTGCGGCGGCGCTCATAGGCCGCCAGTTCCTCGTACGCGGTCGCCAGGCGCTGCCTCTTGGCCTTCTTCCGCTGGTTCTTGCTGTAGCCCGCCCAGGCTGGATCGTTCAGCCCCCAGGCAACCTGCGAGAACAAGTCGGGCCACTGGAACTCAGGCAGGTTGTCCCAGGAGAGCCCGTCCATTAGCACGTAGTGGCCTTCCCACTGCGGCTGCTGTGGAGCGTAGCGCTTAAATACGGTGCCCACCGCCAGCGGCTCGACCTTGGGCAGGTGCTTCAGGAGGTCCACAGCGCTGAGTACCGCTACCCCCTCCTTCTTGAGCTTGTCGTAACGCAGCAGGGCCTTCAAGTCGCGAGTGTCCTCCTCGGGGAAGTCCGCGTGCATGTAGCACGCGCGGGGCGGGTTCAGCTCTTCCTCTATCATCTCGATGCAGACGCCGTAGGAGGTCGTGTAGCGCGCGCCACAAAGGCAGTACCAGCGCTGGCCCGACTCCCCCGCCGCCTCCTGCGCGCAGGTGAGCAGTTGCGTCCAGCGATCCGAACGGATCACTGAGCAGCATCCCTTGGGATTGTCCCAGGTCTTGTTGGCCGAGCACTTGTAGTACATGTTGAACGTAAAGCCCTTGCCACGGTAGAGCTGGTCCGTGTAGTCGCCCATCCGTCGGTAGGCCTCCTGCGCCATGGCGTTGCCCTGGCACTCCCCCTTGCACGCACGCTTGTGTCCCAGGTGCGCGCCCACGACCTCCGAGGCTTCCAGGAGGCCCTTCTTCAGCCTTACCACATCATCCTCTGCCTCCGCATCCAGAGCGTCGAGCCACTTCTGAACCCCGTCCTGCGCCGCCGCGCCCTTCATCATGTCCTCTTTCTTCTCCAGGATGGGTCCCATGCCTCCCAGCATGTGGGCGCGCATGGTCTCGAATTTGAGGACACCGTAGGCCCGCGCCATACGCTTCAGCGATTTCTTGGAGAGGCCGAGCCGCAGCAGGGGCTCGACATCCGCGACCTCCTCCACAGTCTTGGCGTCGACCAGCTGGTGCTCCTGGCCCTCAACGTTGTTGTCGAGCAGGAGGTCGCTGTCATCACCACGGGGAGGGTCTGCGGCGCCAGGTCCATCCTCGAGGGGTGGAGGTGGCGCGCGGGGCGGCCCCGGCACCACCTCCACCGCCACCGGGCGACCGACCTCCTGCGCCACCGTCTCCGTGGCCGGAGGGGCGCCCACGCTCTCGGGAGCGATGCCCGCCCCGACGCCTTCCGTCGCCCTCCGCAGGGCTAGCTACTACTACTACTACTACTACTACTACTACTACTACTACTACTACTACTACTACTACTACTACTACTACTACTACTACTACTACTACTACTACTACACTACTACTACTACTCCTACTACTACTACTACTACTACAACAACTACTACTACTACTAATGCTACTGCTACTACTGCTACTACTACTACTAGTACTACTACTACTACTAC